CTTATAGGAACGCACCTCGTCCTGAGTCCATTGTATGCATAATTATTTCCAAAGTCGGACCGTGGACGCGGTACATTCTCAGACATTTCGCCGGCTTCGTAGTCGGCATCGTCAGTGAGTCTCGCCATTCGTAACAGCATATTACAACTCGTCAAAGGGACAAGTGAAGCCCATCCTTTGACAGCCCGACATTTCAGCTGTCAACCAACTACATTCCCTTTCATCTAAGTGTCACTGATGGGTGGAACGGCGAAATTCTGTTATAAGAATAGATGGGCATATAATTTTACCTCTCATCCTCCTGCCTCGCTTTTCCAGTTTAAATGGACAATTACAGTTACAAGGCAATCTTCGTCCCGGTGAAGCTGATTTACGAACCCATTGGGACTAACTCTTGATAGGAAAAAATGTCTAATAACATTAAATTATTATGGGATTATTTGAAACCTTGCTTTACAGCATATATGATTAAAGCCTGAATTATAATTGAAGTCGCATGCCTGCCAACTAATGCATCTAAACAGTCAAATTGAGTTAGTAATACATTGCACTTGCGAGTCATGCTTGATCCTCACACAAATGTATTTAGAGCCTATTGTCATAATGTACTGAGCTCGAGTCCCTTTATAGACATTAATGAAGCTTGGGACATATCAGAAAGGCATCTCATCCTGGATAAAAACCTCGTTGGGGGTCCTGCTGAGAGGTTGATCTAGGTGAGGCCAGAATTACATTCCACCCTGGATGAGAAGACTTGTGTGATTTAAGGATAACGGAAATTTAATGGGAGCGTGAGGTCTTATTTCATTGTGATAAATTCAACAATCAATTCCTACATTTCAAATAACTAACTGCTGGTCAAATTCTTATTCAATGTACTTCAATGAAAAAGTTGGTTTTGACCTTTCTCTGTTCAGTTAAGAAGTGCCTGCAGATAAAAAAAGAATAAAAATTCACTCCCATTATTGACAGCCTGTGAAAAGTAAGAGCATAGGCGGAGTTAAGTCGGATAAAACTTCGTTTATCGAATCAAGCATATTTACCTTGACATTTTTAAGGTCCAACTCATGTTAAAGTTTCCTTTGACATAGAGGGGAGTCTCGCCTTATATTAGCTTACAATCATTTTTATCTCAGGAACTGACTTCAGGTAGGCTGAGACTTTGTGTTCTGACATGTTTTGTCTTGGATTAAGTGGGTTTGCTTATATGAAACCTTTAAAGCATTTTGATGGGCATAAGTTATCCTCAGATGGGCCAAATTTCCAGATTGAAGCCTCGAAGGTACAGGATGGAGAGTACTTTGGCTTCTAACAGAATTTCGCATACTCCAGAGCCGAATAATTTTTAATTAATTTGGCACGAACATTTTTAAACATTCTACGTAAAGCAACAGCATTAAGAACGAGGAAATGTCAATGAGCTATATTGAAGTTATCCTGTCTTCATGCCTTTATGTCTCGGTAAGTTTAAGTTTATAAATGTTTTCAGACCCACTTTCTCATCTGCTTGAATATTTCAGTTGCAAAAATTAAGCTATTCATATTGTTTGTGACACTGATAGATTTTTTTATTCTGTAAAAGTCATGCTTATTTTAGTTATTTCATTTATTGTGTTGGTTTGACCTCGCTTCGCAATCTGGTTGAGTCCATAGATTTGAGTTCGTTATTGTGTAACTCTCTTGGCATTGCATTTTACTGCCCTGAGATTGTTAATTCCTTCTAATCCTGGTGTCAAGATAGATCCGGAAGAGGTTAAACCATATATTTTTTGGTATTATGCTTCCTTATACCACTTTTTATTTTAAAAATCTAATACACCCTCTTTCATGTGTGCTCAGCTGCACAAATACTTGAACTATGCCAACTAACACGCATATTTTCGGCCTTTCTCGCCTTTTTCTCTAGATCAACTACTTGGCAGAGGCTCTGTCGTCTCATCTGGGGTATAATTAATCGCAAGCCTAGCCATGCCTGGGGCATCATACATCTGCAAAGCAAAGAAAGTACAGATAATGAAGCAGAAGAGGCCGAAGGAGAGGAGTTGGAAGAAGAGACGGCAATGGGCTTAGGTAAAGGAAACTATGACCAATCAAGATATTCAATAGACGACTGCGACCACCAATCTTCAGGACAAGATAGCCTTGACATGGGTGCTGGTAGGGAAAATAATTTTGAAACTGGAGTCAACAGTCAGGCCAAGGGAGGCGATAATCTAACCTCAGCAACTACTAATTCATTGCCTTCCTTTCAAATCCACCACCACAATGAAAGGGCATTTCACTTTCACATACTATACCGTTACAGACCTGTCTTTAAGGCGGTCTACGTACTCATTCAGATTATCATTCAAGTAACTTCCCTCATGGCTTACATTCTGTCCACAATCAGCAGTTTTCGAGTACCCATCAATGAGAGAAACATGCATCCCACAAAGATTCAAATACAGTCTGACAATGTAATTCCTTTGCACTACGCAGTCGCTTATCTAGACAAATCATTGACAATCCCATTCACTTGGATCCGACTCTTAGACGCGATCTCGACGTGTTGGATCACGTTTGATTTTATCCTAGGGCTGATATTCTGCCCATCACTAGTGAGCCTCGTAATTTCCGTCTACACCTGGATTGATTTAATTTCTCTAATACCGTTCTATTTTGAAGCTTTTACCTTAAGCATGGTTACTAATGATGATACACCAGTGTCTGAAGGTACCCGCATTCATGTTCTCCTAATCATAACTGACTACGTGAATATACTACGCGTCTTCGTGGTGCTGCGTTTAATACGATTACTTAGATTCAGTCGAGCCGTATGCGTCCTTTCTTATGCTGTGTGGACCTCGCTACGCGATGTCATTATTCTTTTACTTCTGCTTGGTATCAGCACAGTATTCTTTGGAGCAGCCGCTTTCTACACGGATAAATCGTTTCTCAGCGTTGCTGATGGTGCCTGGTGGGCATTGGTCACCATGTCAACGGTCGGATATGGTGATCGCACTCCGAAAAGTCCAGCCGGAGTTCTAGTTGCCATTTGCTGCATTATTTTCGGCCTTCTTTTGATCGCCCATATTGTCCCTCTACTGGTGAACATTTTCATTCTCTACAACAGACATGCTGATCAGCTATCGGCAATGGAGAACCTGAACCTTAAGCTGCAATCGAATTTGATGCTAAAAAGTGATGCGGAAAGAATGATCGAGGTGTCCGAGTTCGTGCATCACCTGATGAAACATATACTTCAGTTCTTCAAATATATTGCTCCAAAATTTGGCAGGCAAGTGAAAAAAATTGAAAATATTAAAGACTATAAAAACGATTCATAATTATATCACATAATTTTGTCAGTATTCCTTGTTCTTCAATATCTTCAACAGGTTTTTATACCCTGAGATCGTAGATATGAATAGCAAGACAGTATGGCCTTATGTTTGATCGCTGTCTCATTTGGCTTAATGCTATTTTTCGACCTCGTCTTCGCAACTTGGTCAAAGCGTCAGGGAGACCATGTGGAATATACCTAGTCCTGTTTCATCTGCCGTAGTATTCGTCAAGCCCAGCATCGGACCATTGGCTTAGTACATTCCAAAACGTTTCGCTGGCATCGTAATCGGCGTCGTTAGCACAAAGTTAAAATTTAGTAAAACGAAAAGTTAAGGCAATCCCCTTAACCAATTTTATGCTCAAGCGCTTTATACCTTTAAATTCTTAAAATGAGTTATTTATAAATTAAATTGCTGGGAAGTGGTCTGACCACGTTTTCACAGCTAAGCCGTGATGTCAAGGTTACATAGTTGGACGAATCTTTTATGAAGTCTTCTGCTATAATAGTTATGATTATTCCCAGAGTTGGACCGT